TGGCATTAAATGACCCATAAGGATGTTGATATGCCACTAAACAAACAAATTTCTGCTTATGTTCACTTTGCAAAAATGCTGTTAAGAAAGGCATGAAACCACTTCTTCCCCATGTCCTTTTCACTACTGCCAGATCTCAAAGAAATAATAATTCATTACTGATATGCCCCTATAGCAGAGACATGAATTTGTGATACTTTAGGTAAACCATTCTCTGATAAGTAAATTACCCACTCAGGTTGTAGCACTAAAAAAAGCTGTAGCAATCATAGTTACCCTTGACAGGAGTCAATAATAAGATAACTATTATGTACTCCTCTGCTTCGATATTTAAGAATATTTGTGACATTTACAAGTCCCTTTGGTGGCTACAAGATATTGCTTTATTACTGGCTTCACCCTAAGCTTTATTGAATTCATTTTGGACAACTGTAGATGTCTATAGCCAGAGGGCAATGAAAGTGATTTTGAATGAATATCATAATAGTGGTCCTTTATATTTCAACACCAATGTCTGTGTCATTTATTAGCACTTCTAAGAATGCCCTAGACCCTATTAGTCATTCTAAGATATTTCCAGTCACCATCTTCCATATTTATCACAGTCACCATTGGCTAACATTTACTTGAAGATTAAGAAAGTGTTCACAATGCAGTAAAAATCTCTTTAATTGAATGTGATGTACTTGATGACCATCAGATATGACAAAACGGCCTTTTTAAATATTATAACTCCCTGACAGCAACTGACGTTCTTTTTATGCTTTTTTTTTTTGCCCAGTGACCCCTAATTACTGTATAACACAATCCAACGTCTTTTTCAAAGCATTCTGACAATCCCTGTCTATTTATTACCACCTGGCACTAACTGACAAACTTTTAAGATTTGTTCAGTGGCCTCTAATTACAGCCTGACACCACCTGACAGCATATTCAACTATTATATGCCCAGTGGCCTCTAATTACAGCCTGACACCACCTGACAGCATATTCAACTATTATATGTCCAGTGGCCTCTAATTACAGCCTGACACCACCTGACAGCATATTCAACTATTATATGCCCAGTGGCCTCTAATTACAGCCTGACACCACATTCAACTATTATATGCCCAGTGGCCTCTAATTACAGCCTGACACCACCTGACAGCATATTCAACTATTATATGTCCAGTGACCTCTAATTACAGCCTGACACCACCTGACAGCATATTCAACTATTATATGTCCAGACAATTACAGCCTGACACCACCTGCAGCATATTCAACTATTATTACAGCCTGACACCACCTGACAGCATATTCAACTTTTATATGCCCAGTGGCCTCTAATTACAGCCTGACACCACCTGACAGCATATTCAACTTTTATATGTCCAGTGGTCCCTAATTGATGCCTGACAGCAATTACTAGATTTTTTTTTTTAGCTTTCTTTCTTCAGAGACTCCCTAATTACTGCCTGGGACTAACTGACAGACCTTTCAGCTTTTATTTGTCCAATGGCCTCTAATGACTTCCTGATACCAACTAACATCCTCTTAATTTTCTTTGACTGCAGTCCAACAACCTTTTAAGGTATTCTGAGTCTATCTGGCCCCTAATTATTGTCTGGCACTAACTAAGAGATTTTCAAGGCATTTTGAGTCTCTCTGCTTCTAATGACTTCCTGAAAATGACTGACACTCATTTTACTCTTTCTTTGTCTTTCTCATATATTCGGTCCACTGTATCCTCGGCATCCTTCTGTAGAACCACATTTCAGTTGCTTCAAGTCCCTTCTTCATCTTTAAGAAAATTATCCAGCATTCACTGCCATATAGGAGGGCAGATAACGCATAACAGTTCAGTCTCCTTATCTTTGTTTCTAACAAAATTTTTCTGTCTTTTAATACTCTGCTTAGCTTTTGAAATGCAGCTTTGGTTATGTCAATACATCTTTGGATTTCAGTGTCACTCATTCCATCCTTTGTTAGAACAATTCTTAGATATTTAAATTTTTGTGCTTGTTTGATTTTGGTATTGCTGATTTTTAATTTTCATTTTGGGCTAATCCTTTTGCTAACAACCATGCATTCTGTCTTCCTGCAGTTGATGTTTAATCCATATAACTTTCCAGTTTGGATAGAATTCAGAAACATCTTTGTAGCCTTGTGGAGGATTAATTATTTTCCACTATACAACCCCTACCACACAGATGAAATATCACAACCCTCTCTCTACTCTATCACTATTTCCATGGCAAATGTTCAAAGGAGCCATATTCCTTAGTTCCAACAGTTCAGACCTTTACAGCTGAGATCAACCATGCTACACACATGGGATTAAATCATCTTCATTTTCTTTCTATTCCATTAGTAAGAAGAAAGTTTAATTTATACAGCTTCTTCCCAAGAGACTACTGCCCTGGAGTGAAATTGTGAAACTTGATTGAGTGGAATGTGTCTTTTGGATTCTGATTGAATGGAAGATGAAACAAAAATGAGGTCACAGTGGTGATGAAGGGAGAAGATTAGAGTTTGATAATGAAGTCATCAAGGTGTTAGAAATCACATTGGTAATGTCAAGAGAAACCTGGTGATGATAGCTTGCCTATTGGCCACATTTTATGTGGGAAGAATTAGATAGAGGCTGGAATTTAGTTACTATTACAGTAGATTCAACAAGGTCATGATGGTGACAATGAGAGGGTCAGTCATGATGGTAACAATGACAGCCTACCATTGTCAACAGCTGACCTGTCGGCCTGGTACTGTGTGTGAATAGTCAGGTTGCTGTTACAGTGTATTGACTGACATCATAGGAGTGACAACAAGATAGGGTGGTCATGATGGTGTCAACAGCTGGCCTCTCAGTTGTGTCAGTCATTTATGAGGGGCTTTCTTTTAACCAAATCTGATGGCTGCCAGGATGAACTTTTTCTTTTGGCAGCAATGTTCATGATTGGTTATTGTATTTTAGATCTTTGCAAGGACTTGTTTTGTGAACCAGATGTAATGCTTGGAGCCTCTGTTCAGAAGACAACATTTTTTTTATTTTCAGTTTTGCTTTTTTAGTGCTCACAACTGGCTGACATTTAGAGTAAATTAGAAAGAGATCTAATTGTAGAGGAATAAAACACTAATCAGGTTATGCATAGTTGCTGCCATATCTGCCCTGAAGCTGCCCAGTCCTATTTTGAGCCATGACAAATTTCAGAACATTTATGCAGCTTTGTGTGACAGATTATTTTCCACCATTAAAACCTGCTTCTCAGAAAGACAACATTGTAATGAATCCTATTGCTACTCTATTACTTCCATAAGAGAAAGAATTTATAAATTTCAACCTCAAGTACTACTGGCTGCTCAGTCAATGAATGCCAGATGTTTCCTTATAAGGAAATGGCTAATATTACCATTATCATGAAGTAACCCTCTATCTTGAGTAACTCTTGGGCCTTATACTGGGTTAAATTAAGTTAAAAAAATTATCAGACACAACAAGTCTTGCTGAATGTAAAACAGTGTTCATAAAAAATATTCAGTTTTAAACTTCCCAAACCACTTATGACATGTTTGATCATTCACAGCACCTTCTTCACAAAATTCAAAAATCTGTTTTTGCCTTTCAATCAGATTTTAAATTTTCATAGAATAAAAATGTATAACATGTTGCTGATTTTGTTCCATATTAATTGTTAGAATCTATTAACAAATAATTTGAATTTTCGCTTTTTTTTTTTTAAATGCAGCAATCATTATGCAATAAAAAGCAATCCTTTTGAATGAAGTTAGTTAAAGCTAAACACTCCTAATGCCACCTAACAGTAAAAACAGAACAAATTATGGAGTCAACCCAATATGCGAGGTGAAAGAAAATGCTAAAAACACCATAACCACATTTTTCCCATGAGAATGTAAGTAAACCATTAAATTACTGTTCTTTATTCAGTGATGTATTAATTTGATTGTAACTGTAACTGCTTAATTGCCAAAATGAGTGATTTTATGACTGTTTTATTGTTCTTGTCACAAGAAATCACATGAGAAGATTTTAGCTGAGAGCTGAACTTTTATACACAGGCCAAAAGTAACTTGTTTTTCTTTAAATCTACTTATGAAATTAAAGAAGATCATTCTAACCTAATATTTTACAATTTATCTCATAATTTCAACTGGTAAGGGAGATAATTGTTTATATTGCAAATGGCACTCAAATGGAGAGTAATTCATTGTCAGAGGTCTAGTTGTTTTATTAATAGCATATTGTTCTTACTGTTGAGGTTTCAGTGTAAATTCTTAAAGTGGCTTCACCCTGAGCCAATAAATTATATTCATATCACAGATTAAAGAGTTTTATTTAATTTATTGATGAAATCCTAAGAGAAGAACAAAGGTTATGATATATTGAGGCTTGTGGATTATTCAAATCACTTTTCAAAAATCTTTCATGTGTAAGAGCTCTGGAGGCTTCCATAATCTATAATGGTATTATCATAGTTATGACATTATTGACTTTCTTAGGTACTTTTACTGCTGTCTGCACTGTGGAAGATAGCTTAAAAGAGAATGGCTGATCAATGTAGTTTTATTACTAAGTTCCAGTCTCCCCTTAAGAGATCAATAGTTGGTTTGTTTTGTTTTATAAAAAATAAAGGAAATAAAAATGACCTACCAATGCCAGTTGTGCCTGCTATCTATCTATCTATCTATCTATCTATCATAATCTGTTCATATCAATCTCTCTATTTATCTATCTTAGTCTGTTCATATCTAACTATACTATAGCTATATCATTTCCAGTTCTTGTACAATCACAGTAGTTAAGCAATGCAGAGCCTATACTATTTTGTTCATATCTATCTATTTATTTATCTCTCTTTTCATATCTATCTATCCTAGTTTGTTATATCAATCTATTTATCTCTCTCTTAGTATATTCATATCAATCTATCAACTTATCTTACTCTGTTCATATCCATCTATCTATCTTAGTCTGTTCATAGCTATCTAACTATACTATGGCCATATCATGTTGAAACACCAGTTCTTGTATGATCACAGGAGTTAAGCAATGTCGAGCTTGGTCAGTACATAGATGGGTGACCATTTGGGAATACCAGTTCCTGTAAGCTTGGATGTGCAGATGGTGTAATGGATAATGGCTTGGAATGAGAAAGTGGAGGGCTGCGTTTGAATTCCAGTTTGGTTTGTTATATTCACTTACAGGCAAATGTACGGTCAGTCTACCCAGATTTTATATGGAAAATAAAAACTGAGTGTTGTGTCCACAAATACAACACAAATTTTTATATAGCTCGAAGAAATGCTCATCGCAGAAAAAGAAGACGACCAAACTAAATATGACAGTCATATTCATAGTCAGATACATGTATTTATATATTAAAAATCAGTGTCCTTTGTTGCGGCCATGGAGAGACCAATAGTTCAATTGTTCAAAATGATTCGTTGCAAGTGATTCTGCAAAATTTTGAAGTGTTTTGGTTGCAAGTGCGGAAAATAAGTGGTATGGTATGCACATCTGTGTGTGAAGCACATGCTAATGAAACATAATGACTAATTGCATGTGATAGCAGTAATTTTAAAACACAGTGAACAAAGAGAGGAGAGACAAAACTTAATTTTGTTGAGACGCTGTATGTAAAAAATAATTGTTAACATACACATGATGGTTCATGTATCGATGTTGTTGATTGAGGCCTGGTCTGGTTTGTTGACTGTCCCTCACTGACTGTCATTTCAGATCTCGCCGCTGATGAGCCATTTTTATCACTTTGGATTGGCTCAGAATCCCTATCTTAGTTTTGTGCAGGAATGTAATCAGTAACCTGAACCCTGACCTATTTCCAGGTCATCTGGAGTTCAATCACATGGATGTAGTAGAGAGCTCATCACGTGACTTGTCATATCCAATCAGGTTTCAGAAACTACTTATTTAATTTGGAGACTTGTTTGTAAAGAATTGTAAAAAATTCTTTGGCTATTTTGTTTCTCATATCTACTGAATTTAGTAAGATTTATTTATAGGTGTCTCTTAATTGATTGTGCTTCACTTATTGGTCATAAAATGTAGGAGTTTGTATCCTATAAAACCCCTCTGCAAGTTGATAAATATTGAAAATATTTTTCAATATCTAATATATGTTTTAAAGTGATTTTTTTGCAGTGATGTTTGTGGGTGTTTGCTACTGTGTGGAAAAATGGTTCACATACCTTTATATTCAGTGGGGGTATAGAGTGTTCCATCATACTCTTTGTATGTAAATCCAAGTATGCTGGTTTTAGTCTGTAGTCTGACTATGGAGACAGTATCTTGTTTACTCTTTTTTATAATGACAAAATATTTTGGTTTTCTGTCAACTTCTTGTAAAGGTCCTAAATAAGAAGAGCAAAGAGGCCTTTTTACTGCATCTTTTTGTAAGAAAATATATTCACAGTTGAGAAAATCCTTTGGTGTGCAAAGATTTTTTACTTGCATTCTAGTGTGCATGAAAACTAGACCACTCATTCTTTGTTTGAAGTTTTGTACAAAAAAATTTGGTTGCCTGTAGGTGATTCGTTTTATTGCAAAACTGTCCTGGTAGTATTAATGATGTCACAAAGACTAATTCGGATGTTGTGCATCCTAAATCTTTCTTGATTACATTCCTGATGGATAACAAAACCAGTGGTTAATTTTCTAACTGTAATAGTTATTTGCTGTTAGTGTTGCCTTAGGTTGCCTGTGAAAATGTTCGACCAAGCCAATGGGACAAGGATGATATGATCTAGTTGTTATATACTTGACTTTCAGTAGTTTTGTGAATTCGTTGAAAAGCATAGATTGAAATTGAGATCTTCAATCTGTTGTTAATATTGAGGGACAACCAAAAACAATTATCCATTCATGTGAGATGCTTTTAGAGATTATTTCTGCAGATATATCCTTCAGAGGAACAGCAACAGGCCAGCTTATAAATCAATCAGTGAAAGTGAGTAGATAATGATGGCCATTTGCTTTTGGTAATAGCCCCACTGTATTGATGTGGAGGTTTGTGAAGCTATCGTCTGATTTAATAAATTGCCCAGGAGAAGTTTTTATGTCTGGTTACTTAGTTTTTTTGACACTTTAAACAGGTTTGAGTCCAGTTTTTTATATCAGTATGCAGACAAAATGATAACTAATCAACTTGACGGTAGCTTGGTTTCCCAGATGTGAGAGGTTGTGAAAGTGTTTAAACAATTTTTTCCTCAATGAAGGTAGTATATATGGTCTCAAATAACCTGTCCCCACATAACAGAGTAGTGTTTTTGTTCCAAATGGGACAGGATTTTTGTTGAATTGTAAAGAAATGTTCTCTTTTAGTCTGTTTAATGTGGCATCTTTTTGTTTTCCTCTGTGGTGAGATTGAAGATAATGGTTTTAGAATCTAGAGATCATATTGTGGAGCACAAGAGTGTATCTGCCATGATGTCTGTCTGAACTCTTAATGTAATGGATATCCAAAGTAAATTGGGATATATAATCCAGTTGTTGGGTATCTTTGGGTGTATATTTGTCTGTATTCATGTGTAAGGCATAAGTGAGAGGTTTGTGATCTGTGAAAATAGTAAAATCTCATCTCTTCAAGCAGATGTCGGAAATGTCTTAGTGATAAATAAATTACGAGTAACTCCCTGGAGAAGGTACTGTATTTTAGCTGTGCATTGTTCAGTTAGATAAAAAGGAAATTGTTTTTTCTAAGCCATTTTACTTCTGATAAAGAACTGATCCAACTGAATTTGCTTAAGTGTTGGTTGTCTAATTATCACATTTTTCAGCATATCATAAGGTTTTTCCTCTAGCATGTAGTCAAGTAGATCAACTACTTCTATTGTGACATCTGCCGAGTGTTTTTCTAATATGTAAACATAGTGCATGCCTTGCACTAAAAACTGCATTGAAGTGCAAAAACTAGATTTGCATGTTGCTGGATTATAGATAGGTAAGTTTACTGTTACTACGGCTTCGATAGATGGGTGATGTTCATATCTATTTTCTAAGTGTCTCATCATTGTGGTTATTTTTAAAAAAATTGTGTTGGTTGAGTTGAAATATTTTTAGGAAGAAATATTCTAGGAACATCAGCAGATCACAATTTTGTTATTCGTAGATAATTGTACTTGTATGTTCACATTGTAAAATATTTTATGACAAAATTTATTAAGAGCTACAAGGGACAGGAAGATATGGAGGGCCATGATTACCTAATGTCTTGAAGGGAAAAACAGCACATAAAAGAAGAAAGAAGTCATTTAAATCTACATTGTTGGATGGAGTTTTAGGTCATACTCAAGACTCAAAATATTTATTTATGAAATACAGTTCTTTGTAAGCGACAGATTGTGATTTAGGTTTTGTAAAACTGTTGAGCCTGGCAAATCTTGTGCTCTCTCTCTCTCTCTCTCTCCCAGAAGCTAGGTGTTGAACAGACAGAAATCTGCATGAGTGGGCATCTGCACCTGTGATTGGATAACCACCCTACTTATATATATATATATATATATATATATATATATATATATATATATATATATACTAGCAGTAGAGCCCGGCGTTGCCCAGGGATGTAACAGTAAGAGATAGATCAAGTATCGACCATCATAAAGAGTGAAAAATAAAATTGACAAAGATTATTGTTTAAGGTTGGCGGACACGCATGTCTTAATTAGTTTTTTTTTTTTTTTTTTTTTTTTTTACGAATTGGTCAAACTCAAACAAAAGCATCGTTTTCAATCGTTATGAGTCTACTGATTGAATAGAATTTTATTATAAACAATTGTCTTGTAAATGGAATTTTTAAAGCATTCTGAATGTAAAAATAAAGAAAAAAGTGTGCAAGACAATAAGAAACACTACCTGCCAAAAAAAGTGAAGTTTTGTTGAAATTGGTTGAAAAATGAACGAAATCTGATCCAATATATAAACGTACAGACACACACACACACACACACACACACAACCTGGGTTTTATAATAAGTATGATATATATATATATATAATGATAAAAAAGGCTCAAACACTTTCTATAGTTTTAATTTATTACATTGGAATTGTAATCACAATCCAATTCATCAGACCTCCAAATTCAAAAAGTGAGAGTGTGGGAAAGCTCTAGAGAGGGGTAACAAAAGAAAGAAGAACAGGAAGCCCTAAAGGTGAAGGTGGGGATTAAAATTTAACAGAGAGAAGTTTTAAAGAGAGGAGTTAAATAACTTATATATATTTTAAATAACTTTTAAATAAGGTCTGATGAATTGGATCGTGATTACAATTCCAATGTAATAAATTATAACCATGGAATATTAGTGTTTGAGCCTTTTTTATTATATTCTTACTCTGTCCTGGACATTGAGTTCTACCTAGATTCTATCATCCTCTTGGAAATATATATATATATATATATATATATATATAGACCACTAATATTATCAATTTATCTATCTATCTATATATCTATCTATATATATATATATAAAAATATTGCGCAATAAGTGCTGGTGGTAATAAAAGTGCTCAATATAAAATAACTAAAATTCATACTTGTAGAGGTGGAATCGAACCTAAGACGCCCAGTTACAAGACCGGAATGGTCTTGGCGTCACACCCCCATAGAAGTAGACTCGCCCGCTTACACGAGAGGCGAGAGTGGGCTACTTAAACAAGACATTTACGGCAACGAGTATCTAGGCAGATACACGTCGTCTCTCTGCTACCTTACATGGCGTCGCCGATATAGGAAACCTGCTACAAACAACGTTGGAATATGGACGAACAAACACAGCAGACATTACTTCGACAGCTCATCGAGCTACAGCAAGAGATCATCGCCCTGCGAAGAGACGGAGGACAACCGAGAAAGTCACTTACAAGGAGACCCGACAGACCTAATATAGAACCGGACTCAAGTGATGGTGACTGGGCGATATTCATTGACTCCTGGAATAGATACAAGGAGATGTGTGGGTTGACGGAGCCAACAGCGTTAAGAAACGAGTTGAGAACGGCCTGTGCCCCAGAAGTGAACAGGCTGTTGTTCGATATGGTAGGAGCAGAAGTACTAAACTCCGTCACGGAGGAAGAGCTGTTAC